GCCCCATAGGGCGTGGGGGCCCCGTTTGAGACATCCTCACGGTTTGCCCCCTTGGCGTGCTCAAGTGCTATGCCTGGACAAACGAGGCCCTCGCTCGAGACATCCGCACGACTTGCCGCCTTGGGGCGCTCACGTGCTATGCCTGAAGTGCGGGCCCATATGGAAGGGGGCTTCGCCCGAGACCTCCTCGCAACGCACTCACAAACGAGGCCCCCGCTCGAGAAATCCTCACGATTCCCCCCTTGGGGTGCTCGAGTGCTATGCCTGGTAGGATCTGCCCGATGAGCCTTTCGGATTCCGACATGAAGTGCGGGCCCCATAGGGAAGGGGGTTCCCGCCCGGGGTACCTTTGCAACTCACTCGCAAACTAAGCCCCCGCTCGAGACATCCTCACAGTTTGCTCCCTTGGGGTGCTCAAGTGCCATGCCTGGCGAATTATTCCGATGGCACGCTCGAATTCCATGATGAAGTGCGGGCCCCATCTGGAGGGGGCTCCCACATGAGACTTACTTGCTATTCACTCACAAACGAGGCCTCCGCTCAATCCGTCCTCCCTGTTTACCCCCTTGGGGTGCTCAAGTGCTGTTGTGTCTGGTGAATGCTTCTGACAACCCGCTCGGATTTCAACATGAAGGGCGGGCACCACAGGGAGGGGCTCCCGCCTGAGACTTCCTCTCAATTCGCTCATAAACAAGGCCCCGGCTCGAGACAACCTCACGATTCGCCCCCTTGGAGTACTCAAGTGCTATGCTTAGTAAATGTGCCTGGTGACCCGCTCGGATTCGCACATGAAGCGCGGGCCCCCTAGGGAGGGGGGCTCCAGCCTGAGACTTCTCTGTAATTCGCTCACAAACGAAGCTCTCGCTCCAAGATGCAAAACCGTTACCGCTTCCCCGCGGAACCGTTTCCCCGGAGGACCGTTTCCCCGGAGACCTCTTCCCCAGAAACTTCTTCCCCGGAGGACCGTTTCCCCGGAACCTTTTTCCCAGAAGAGTTTCCACGGAACCGTTTCTCCGGAACCGCTTCCCCGGATTCGCTTCCCCGGAGCAATTTCCCCATCACCGCTTCCCTGGAACCGTTTCCTATGTGCACCCTCCTCCCCAGAACCAGTTCCCCAGAGACCGCGTCCCCAGTTCCACTTCTCGAGGGAGGGTGAAGGAGGAATGGGGGAGGGATGAGCGATGAGGGAAGGAGGAATGAGGGAGGGAGGAAGGAAGGGAAGGATGAGGGATAAGGGAGGCGGGAGGGAGGGACGAAGGAGGAGAGAGGGAGGGATGAATGAGGGAGGGATGAGGGCGGGAGGCGAGGACTAGGGTGAAGGAAAGATAGATGAGGGATGAGGGAAGTAGGAATGAGGGAGGGAGGGCGGAATGAGGAGGGATGAGGGACGAGAAGTAGGGGGTACGAGGGATGAGGTAACAGGAGGGGGAGGAGGAGAAGGAGGAGGAGGAGGGGGAGGAGGAGGAGGAGGAGGAGGAGGAGGAGGAGGAGGAGGAGGAGGGGCAGGAGGAGGAGGAGGAAGAAACGCTAACTGAAACGCCCCCCCAACAAAAACACCTTGTACTTGCGACAAGCCGTGCAAGTACTACAGAACACACGAGATATCTCGGGGAAGCGGGCATGTCCTGAACCACCTCAAGTACGGACATCTCTGAGCCCAGAGGTGGAGGGAAGAGGGAGGAGGGATGAGGCATGAGAAGAACTAGCAGAGATCAGTCATAAGGGAGGGAGAGAGGGATAAGGGACCAGTCGGGCGGGCGGACCCTACAAGGGGGCTCGGGTCGGTGGGTCGGGACCCTAACGGGCGGGTCGGGTCGGGCGGGCGGGACATGAACACATTGCGCATCATCGAGTTCGCACGCGAGAACACTAACAGGCGGGTCGGGTCGGGCGGGCGGGACATTAATGTATGGCGCATCATCGAGGTGGGACGCGAATATCCTACCAGGCGGGTCGAGTCGGGCGGGCGGGCGGACCCTAACGGGCGGTACGGGGTAGAGTCGGGCGGGCGGACCCTAACGGGCGGGTCGTGTCGGGTCGGGCGGGCGGGACATTAATGTATGATGCATCATCGAGTTGGCACGCGAGTACCCTCATGGGCGGGACGGGTCGAGCGGGCGGGCGGTCCCGAACGGAAGGGTCGGGTCGGGTCGGTCGGGCGGGACACTAACGGGAAGGTCGGGTCGGGTCGGGCGGGCGGACCCTAACTGGTGGGTAGGGTCGGGTCGGGCGGGCGGGACATTGAAGTATGGCGCATCATCGAGGTTGGACGCGAGTATCCTAACGGGCGGGTCGGGTCGGGCGGGCGGGCAGACCCTAACAGGCGGGACGGTCTGGGTCGGGCGGGCGGACCCTAACGAAAGGGTCGGGTCTGGTCGGGCGGGCGGGACATGAATGTTAATGCATCATCGAGTTGGCACGCGAAAGCCCCAACAGGCGGGAGGGGTTGGGCGGATCCTAACGGGCAGGACGTGTCGGGCCGGGCGGACGGACCCTAACGGGCGGGTCGGGTCGGGTCGGGCTGGCGGGACATTCAAGTATGATGCGTCATCGAAATCGCACGCGAGTACCCGAACGGGCGGGACGAGTCTGGCGGGCGGGCGGACCCTAACAGGCGGGACGGGTCGCGTCGGGCGGTCGGACCTTAACCGGCGGGTAGGGTCGGGTCGGGCGGGCGGGACAACAATGTATGATGCAGCACGCGAGTACCCTAACGGGCGGGACGGCTCCGGCGGGCGGGCGGACCCTAACGGGCGGGACGCGTCGGGTCGGGCGGGCGGACCCTAACGGGCGGGTCCGGTCGGGTCGGGCGGGCGGGACACTCAAATATGATGCGTCATCGAGCTGGCACGCGAAAGCCCTACCGGGCAGGACGGGTCGGGCGGACCCTAACGGGCGGGACGGGTCGCGTCGGGCGGGCGGGGCCCTAACGGCCGGGCCGAGGGGGGCGGGGCATGAAAGTGGCACGCGAAAGCCCTAACAGGCGGGAGGGGTCTGGCGGGCGGGCGGACCCGAACTGGAAGGACGGGTCGGGTCGGGGGGGCAGACCCTAACGGCGGGTCGGGTCGGGTGGGCGGGCGTGACATGAAAATATGATGCATCATCGAGTCGGCACGCGAAAGCCCTAACGGGCGGAGCGGGTCTGGCGGATCCTAACTGGCAGGACGGGTCGGTCTGGCGGGCGGACCCTGACGGGCGGGTCGGGTCGGGTCGGGCGGGCGGGCGGGTGTAGGAGCACACGCCTCGAGTGCCTAGCCCAGAGCACCGCGGGAGTACCCAGAGTGCCTGGAATGTCTGGAGCGCCAGTGGACCGGTCCGGTCCTGTGGAGCCCGTCCTGCTGAACCTGGCCCGTGGAACCAGTCTTGCGGAACCGGGCCTGTGGAACCACCACTTCTGTGGAACCCGACCTGCGGAACCGGTCGACCCTGTGGAACCGGTTCCGTGGAACCAATTCTGCGGAACGGGTCCTGTTGAACAGGTCTTCGTTGAACCGGGCTTGGCTGAACCGGTCGTCTGTTGAAACAGTGTCTGTTGAACCGGTCGTCTGTTGAACCGATCCCTGTGGAACCAGTCGTCTGTTAAACCGGTCTTCTGCCAAGGAGGCCCTCGCTCGAGACATCCTTACGAGTTGCCCCCTTGGGGTGCTTAATGGCCTGGTAGATGTTCCCGATGGCTCACCCGGATTCCAACATGAAGTGCGGGCCCCAAAAGGAGGGGGCTCCCGCCTTTGACTTCCTTGCAATGCACTCACAAACGAGGCCCCCACTCGAGACACCCTCACGATGTGCCCCCTTGGGGTGCTCAAGTGCTATGCCTGGCAAATGTTTTCGATGACCCGCTCGGATTCGAACACGAAATGAAGGTCCCAAAGGGATGGAGATCCCGCTCTAGACTTCCCTCAAAGACGAAAATGTGAGTGTGCATAGTGATGATGAGCGATGATGTCGGTGAGTGGCGATAAGTGAGTGAGCGTGTGAGTGTGAGAGTCTGAGTGAGTGCGAGTGAACGCGTTATTGTGAGTGAGATGGTAATGGTGATGGTGATGGTGATGATGATGGTGGAGATGGTGATGAGGAGGAGGAGATGGATGATGATGATGATGATGATGATGATGATGATGAAGATGAAGATGATGATGATGATGATGATGATGATGATGATGATGATGATGATGATGATGATGATGATGATGATGATGCTGCTGCTGCTGCTGCTGCTGATGATGATGATGATGATGATGATGATGATGATGATGACGATAAGGAGGAGGAGGAGGAGGATAATGACGAGAAGATGGAAGAAGAAATGGGTGAGGAGTGATCCTGCGCGGAGGTGTCCAGAGGAAACGCCACTTTGGATGTGGGGAACAGGCCGAGCAACTCCGCTGCAACCGAGCAGCGTTATAACCCCCATGGGACGCACAGAGACATACTGATACCGTATACCCTCCTTGGAGGCGCGCGTCCGACCCAAACATATAGTATGCCCATCTTGTAGTATATCGTTTCCCGAGCGGTGTGGCCAGAATGCGCCCGCCACGACGCGTAAACTATAAGATTTCTCGGTGCGCGCATCGCCCCCGGAGGGCGACGCACATATAGTATAAGTATGGTGGGGTGACGCCGACCCCAGTGCGCACGCAGGAGGAAGAGAGGCCGTGGCCGCTTGGAAGTTTCCACAAGTGCGCCGGCGGTCTCCGGAGCTTCGGGGGACTCTTGGAAGTTTTTTGGGGACTGCCGGAGGTTGTCAGGAGCAGCAGCACCGAACCCAGTCGCGCCCGTGTGAGGTGACCGCAGCAACACCGCCTGCCACTTCCGCAGCTCGGGCACGCGGGGGGGGAGGGGGGGGGGGGGCGGTCTGTCAGGCAACGGCTGGTCAGCTTCTGCCCCGCGCCCTTTCAAAACTTCAGATCGGCCTGCCGCGAAGGAAGTTCAGGGGGGGGGGGGGGGGCTGGCCAGCGATCTGGAGCTCCTCCCTCTCCTCGGGAGGGCCGTCCGGCCTCTGGAACTCCTGCTCGATCCTCTGCATGTGGGCCTCGACGCTCCTCAGCGACACCGGCAGGGCGCCGCTGGACCGCAGCGGGAAGACGGCCTCGGACCCGCTGCTGCGGCGGCACCCGCAGTACTGCTCCAGGTCCTCCAGGAGCTCGCCCAGGCGCATGGCCAGGACGTGGTTGAAGTTGGTGATCGTCTGGTAGCCCAAGTACTCGCCGCTGGCCCGGACGTCTCGTATCTGCGCCTCGCCGGAGCTTCAGAAAGGGCCGGCCGGCACAGCGGAGGTCGTGGTGACCTGTTCCGTGGGCGCCGCCGGTCTCGACGGACCCACCTCCAGGAAAAGCTCGCGCGGAGGCTCCGAAGCGCAAAAAAGCTTGGTCAAATGCCGCTGCCCCTGGATCCCTCACGGGGTCCAAACGAACCAGTTTCCCGAGACTCGTCCAGCCATTGCGACGAGGGCCCCCCCCGAAGGCACACTACCGCAGTCTCAGCTCGCGCTTCTCTGGAGCTGGAAGGCACGGACTACACCGCGCCAGCCATGCACCAGAACTTCCATAGAGCCCCCCTTGTGCCTCGAGGTCGCTCTCGAACTTCCTCTCCAGCCTCAACTTGAGCTGCTCGTCGGCGGGCGTGTACACGAGAGCCTGCGACGGGTCCTCCAGCGTGTAGTCCAAGTGCACCCGCCTGGAGCCCGCCCCTGACCAGCCTCGCCTCCCCCCCTCTGCTCACGCCTGTCCTGCGAACGAGCCGTTCCTGCGAACTAGCCCTTCCTGGGGCGCGGGCGCGGTCTGCGAACTAACGCAATTCCTGGGCGCATCCCCAGACGGCGCCAGCGCGAATCGTGATGTGACTGGCCCCCTCCCACCCCGCCCCGGTCACGCCCCCTATCTTGGCGGCGCGCCTAGGGGGGGAAATGAGAAGGGGCGGGCCTTCTCAGAAGGCTCGGAATTCCTCTGGTCTTCTGACAAGTTGTCAGAGCCTTCCCTCAAGAACTAACAGAGCTGCCCAGAAGGCGCGAGGGCTTCTGAGCAGTCCCGCCTCCTTCTGAGCAAGGAGGAGGAGGAGGAGGAGGAGGAGGAGGAGGAGGAGGAGGAGGAGGAGGAGGAGGAGAGAGAGAAGCAGTAATTAGGCGGATGAGGAGGAGGAGGAGGAGGAGGAGGAGGAGGAGGAGGAGGAGGAGGAGGAGGAGTAGGGGGAGAGGGAGCAGGAGGAGGAGGAGGAGGAGGAGGGCGCTGGGGCGCCCAAGAAGGGCGCTGGGGCGGCCGCTGCAGGCAGCTGCACCCCGCCCGCGTCTGGCCACAAGACGTGCCCCCCCCCTGCTCGGAGCAGCAGGCGACGCCAGGGCAGGGGCCACCTCGGACAGGAATAGGAGGAGGAGGAGGCGGAGGCGGAGGCGGAGGAGGAGGAGGAGGAGGAGGAGGACGAGGAGGAGGAGGAGGGGAGGCGGAGGCGGAGGAGGAGAAGGAGGAGTAGGAGGAGGAGGAGGAGGCGGAGGCGGAGGACTTGGAGAAGGACGAGGGGGAGGAGGAGGACGAGGAGGAGCACGCCAGAGAGTCTCCGAGATCCGGCGACTCTGGAAGACGTAGCCGTTCCCGAAAACGCTCGGAGAGCCTGCGGCACGCCCCGTGAGACTTGTCTGAGGCGTTCCATGCAGAGGCCTCGGCTCCGAGGGCCGAAGGAGCTGCCAGCTCCTCTGCGGCCGGCAGGCGGCGGAAGGGCGGCGCGGCAGGGCGGCGGACGCAGACAAAAAAACGAGGCGGCGGCGGAAGGCGGAGGGCGGCGGAAGGCCGCAGGAGCAGAAGATGAAAGGGGCCCTGGGGCACACAAATAAATACACACAGATAGCAGGACTCCCCTCTATGTTCCCAGATGTTCTGGGTTTTTTGTCTTCCCTCCCACCTCCCAGATTTTCCCATGTTTTCCGGCGGATCGGCGAATCACTGTGTCTGTGCGTTCTTTGTTCCTCCTGAAGGGTGCGCCCCCCCCCCCCGGGAGACGAGAAAGCGCTTCGGGGCTCGGGGCTTCCGAGACCGCCCCGGCACGGCCCGAAGGACGCCGGGCGAAGGGGCACGCGTCCTCGGAGCGGCCTCGCGGTCCTGCTCGGCGGCCGGCAGAGGCCGGCCCCACTGCGGGAGCCGACGCCCCAGTGCGCGGCGGCTCCCGGCCTCGCGCTCGGCGCGCGAGAAGAAAGGGGGGCCGGAGGCAGGGCGAGTTGCGCCCCCCCAGACCTCCTACGCATGGAACAAAACACAAGGCGGAAGCGTTTCTCTCGACCTTCCGCCTCTACATAGAGGCCCTCGCCGGGCCCCGGGACCGTCAAAAAACGACTCAGCCCTGACTCCGGATCCGCCCGACTTTTGGAACAAAAATCGGAAGTAGGGCCCTCGCCGGGCCCTGGGACCTTTTTCGGCCTCCTACAGGTGGATATCCGACGCAATTCTAAGCTGGGAAAAAAGCCAAGAAGTGGGGCGGATCTGGAGCCAGGGAGGATGAAAACCCGGTGCTGGGGAATGGGTCGAGACCCCGGGGGGCCGCGCATGGAGCAAAGCACGGCGTCGGATCTCTGGGCCCGCCACGCGGCGGAGTCCCCGCCGGGGTGGGCACCGGCGCCGCACCCCTCTGGCGGGGAGGGGCAGCGGCTGCGCAGGGCCCCGCGGCAGCGGGCAGGCTCGAGGGATGGGAGGGCCGCGCGCGCGGGTGCGTCCGCCAGCGCCCGGCGGCTCGGGCGCGTCTACGAATCTCTCCCGCAGGCTCGCCCATTACCAGCTCCACCCACCAACTCAAAAAGCACACAGACACACACACACACAAAAGCACACACACACACTCACACGCACACACACACAAAAGCACACACACAAAAGCATAATAAAAAACACACCGTGGGGGAAACAGAAAAACACCCTGCCAGCTCAGCCTGCTGGCCCTCCTGCGGCGCCCCAGAGCGGGGTCGCGCGCCTTCTGGGCAAGAGACGACCGCCTGGGAGCCCCGGCTCTGGTGAGGAGTGCGGCGAGCCCTGCTGGCCCAGACCCGCCAGCACGCACGCATGCGACTTGCAGGGGTTTCGCGCGGGAGGAGCCCCTCGACTCCACTGGGTGTAGGATGGCCACTCACTTGCGGACTGAAGCGAGGGGATTTGGGACGGGAGCGTGTGCTGCAGCATCGTTATCTCATCCTGGGTTTACTCTGGCCCTCTGCCTCCTCATCCTTGCAATTCCCCTACTTTCCCCCTCCTCCTCCTCCTCTTCCTCACAACCAGCGCTTCGGTTTTCTTTCGATGCGTGGCCACCTCAGCCTCTCGACCCCTTCCCCAAGGCCCGTGTTGCATCCCGAGTCGTTTCGCAGACCGCCCGCCCGACAACTGGCCTCGAGGGGCCAGACACGGGTACAGACTGGCCGCCCCGATCTTCTCGAGGCACCAGATGACTGGGACGCCGCCCGAGCGCCCCCCTGCCCCCCCGCCCCCCACTCATACACTCGGCCGCCACCAGCCGAGCGCCCCCGAGCACCCCCAGCCGCCGCCCCCGGTCGAGCGCCCCCGAGCTCCCCCCAGGGATCGTTCTCCCGACCCCAGCGCGAAATTGCACGCTGCCGTTGCGCACCGAGAGGCCCCACGAGACTGCTGCTGCCGCCGCCCTGTGCCCTCCCCAGACATGCGATACAGTCGGGGCGTTGACCTGAGGAACCCTAAAGAAGGAACGAGGCCCCTATTTTCCATAAGTTAAACTTCGATTTCAGATCGAAAACGTAAGGAAAACCTCAGGCAAGCTGCGAAACAATTAAGGAACACGGAGCCCATCCCCAATGAAAAGGGTTCCTTCTTCAGCGCCCCGACTGTAGACCTCGACTTCTTGCACACGGGGGGGCCCCAGGAGTGCCGGCCCGTCCCCGGGGGCAGGCTCTTCAGAGCGGACCGCTCGTGGACGGCGCTATGAGGGCCCAGCGGGGACGCCTGGAGGCGGAGAACAGCCAAGGACCTCCCGTCGTGACTCGGGCGTTGGCAGAACTGGGCTTTGTGGACCCTGGCTTAGGGATTTGTGCCGGGGGCGCCCCCCCGTCCCATTCCCACGAACAGGAACTGCCGCCACCCGAAAAACACTAGGTATACGGCAAACCTGGTTTAGTGCATCTGGCCAATTTTGAGGGGCCCCAGGGCCCTACCGCTGACCGGGTCCCCTTACGTACCCGGGGTCCTGGCTAGACCCAGAGATCCGACGTCGTGATTTTTTCAATACGCGGTCCCCCGAAGTCTCGACCCATTCCCCAGGACCGGTTTCTCATCTTGAGTCGTTTTTTGACGGTCCCGGGGCCCGGCGAGGGCCCCTATAAGGCCGAAAGTCGAGAAAAACCATAGTTTTTTTTTTTCAAAACGTTGGAGGTCTGGGTACCCGAGTGCTTCTCAGACGGCAGCCCGGCGCCACTGCCCTGCCGGCCCACGGCGCCCAGCGCTCCCGGGCGCGCCTCGACGGCGGCACCCCGCCCGCGTCCTCGCGGGCGGCGGGCAGGGTCCGTGTCCGCGCCCTCGCGGTCTGCACTCCGGGGCGCGACCTCTGACCAGCCTCGAACGCATCCCTATCCCTACAGTTGGGGCGTTGACCTAAGGGACCCTAAATAAGGAACGAGGCCCCTTGTTCCCATAAGTTACGTTTTAATTTCCCATGGAAGACGAGGGGTAAAACCCAAGGCAAACTGTACAGCAATCAAGGAACACCGAGCCCCGCCCCAACGAAAAGGGTTTCTTCTTCAGCGCCCCGACTGTAAGATGGGCGGGCAAAAAGCGCGGACAATCCTAGGGACAGGCCCTCAACAATTGAGGGAATCCTCAAGATCGGCATCGAGGTGCGGTGATGTCAAGCATAGGGATAGGGATATGTTTCCAACTGGTAAACCTCAAGGACACGCGGTCTCACGGGCGAGCTCCGCGCGGGGCATCCGCGAGAGCACGCTCCGTCTCCGCGGGGTCGCGGCCCGGAGGCCGGGCCCGCGGGGCCGTGGATAGGAACGTGAGAACGACAGTGGTCGTGTTGGGGTGAGGGGGCTGGGGAGATCCAGGGCGCGAGGGTGCAAAAAGCACATGCAACACACGCAGCAGTACGCATGATCTGATCATTTCTCCCAACCCAGGGCCCCGACGTCATGTTTTTTTCATGACGTGGGCCCCCAGCGGTCTGGGCCCATTCCCCAGCACCGGTGTTTCATCCTGCGCCATCTGTTGACGGTCCCGCGGCCCCACGAGGGCCCCCGGATGCCGTGAAGAACAAAAAGCGTTGCGTCGCGCATGTCTTATGACTCGGAGCGTTCTGGGAACCCCATCCTATCAACCCGACAGATGTCTCCTGGAAGGCTCCTGGAAGGCGGCTCGAGGCCGGAAGACCGCGGAGAAGCGGCGAAGTCTCCAGAAAGCCTCCACTCGTATGTTGGTTCATGTCGCGAGCACTGTCTGGGCTCCCCCCTCCTGCTCCTCCTCCTCCTCCTCCTGCTCCTGCTCCTGCTCCTGATCCTCCTCCTGCTCCTCCTCCTCCTCCTCCTCCTCCTGCTCCTCCTCCTCCTTCTCTTCCTCCTCCCGCCTGTTGTCGCCCACGGCGTCCGCAGCCGCCGAGGTCGGGGTCGGGGAGGTGTCCGAGCCGCGGCGCGGCTCGTCCGAGAAGCGGCGCAGCTCGGCGTAGCCGCCAGGGAAGAGAGGCATCCAGCAGGACCTGGGTCAGCGGCTCTCGCCCTGCTGATTTGCAGTCCTTCTCCTCCTCTCCTCCTTCTCCTCCTCCTCCGCCTCCTCCTGCTCCTGCTCCTCGTCCTCCTCCGATCCTCCTCCTCTCATCCTCCTCTTATCCTTTTCTCTCCTCCAATATCCTCCTCCTCTCCCCTCCTCCTCCCCCTCTCTCCTCCTCCTCTCTGCTCCTCCTCTCTCCTCCTCCTCTCTGCTCCTCTCTACTCCTCCTCCTCTCTGCTCCTCTCTGCTCCTCTCTGCTCCTC